ACCGACTTGATGGCACCTTACAACAACAACAACAACAACAACAATTAATATAATCTAAGAAATGTTACATTTAAGCATTTTGCAAGTATATTTACTACATATTAATCAATGATCAAAATTGATAATAAGCATTAACTAATGGTGTTATATAAAGAACTCTGATAGTGTGGTGGTTATGAGTAGTGCTACTAACCTCAAAGTCAGCAGCTGGAAACTGCCAGCCGTTCTGTGAGAGAAAAATGAGTCTTTCTGCTTCTGTAAAGATTTACAGCCTCAGAAACCCTATACAGGGTTTCATAGAGTTAGATCCATCTCCATGGTATACAACTCCCACCACCACCAAGGATGTTATATGGTCTGGTATCAGAGGAGGCCCTGGGGTTGACATCATGAGTTCCTGCATTGGGTGACACCACCCATAATGATGCCATTGGAGCTCTGGTGGTACAATGGGTCAGGCAGCAGATTTAAATCCACTGGCATTTTCATAAGAGAAAGATGAGGCAGTCAACTTCCTTAAAGAGTACAGCCCTGGAAACCCTCTGGCGCCGTTCTGCTGTGTCCTACAGAGTCACTATGAGTCAGAGTCAGCTGGATGGCAGTGGGTTTTGTTGAAGCATGAAGACTACTGGCCCTTTTTATATCATAGAGAATGTCAACATTTATTTTCACATCTTGGGTTCTCTTTAGTATGATTCACTCTATAGAAGTTTGTCGTCATTTTAATCAAATCTCTTTATTGCATTATTTTCAATTGACCCCACTAGTTTTAATACCACACATTTAATTCAAGAGCATGTGCATATGAATACATATTTGATTGTAATGGTTCATTTCCTTCTATAATTTGTATAGTCCCTTTACATTTGGAAGAATTCCTCTGCAGTCAGTCTCCGAGAGAGAGAGCCATAGGGATCCTCACTAATTAGAAGAACTGCATGGAGGTCAAAAGAGGTAACAGACTTGTTTTATTTATAATGATTAGGTTCCATCCTTGAGAGAAGTTACATTCAATGGAGATATTGGCAAATGATAGCCTGGCAAGACAGATTTGCTGTGAATATTACAGTATATTACAGGCACTACACTAGAAAAGAATCCTGGTGTAGTGCTGTATGAAAAGCTCTGAATTGCCAACCGCAAGATCAGTGGTTAAAACCCACCAGCCACTCCTTGGAAACCCTATACAGGGTCACTATGAGTCAGAACTGACTAAATGGCACTTAACAACTACAACAACACTGTAAACAGCATATGTGTCCGTTCATTTAATTCACTCATCAATCTCATTATGTAGGAAATATTTACTGCTTTTATTATACAGGTGATGTATCTTCAGCTAAGAAGATTAAGGAAGTTTCTCAAGGTTACAGAGGTAGTAAGTTGGTAAAACCCAAAATTGCAATCCAGGTATTCAAACACCCATTTGCATTCAAACACCCAGTTTAAAAACTCAGTTTTGGGGAGTTATACAACCAAAATAATTGTCATAAAATGAAATGTTTCTGTTGTTGTTCCAACTTGTAGTGACCCTATTTAGGGTTCCTGAGGAACAGGTGGTGAATTTGAACTGCCAACCTTGTGGTTCAAGCAGACTTTATGGCTGAGTGCTTATCCTACAGTGCCAAACTTCTTGTTAAGTGTCATCGAGCTGATTCTGACCCATAGTGACCCTGTACAGGGTTTCAGAGGAACAGCTGGTGAACTTCAACCACCGACATTGCAGTTCAAACACCTTTGCAGTCTGGTACATTAACCCACAGCGCCATATCAGAACTCCATAAAGTGAATCCATGAATAATGTCAATAGTTGTAATTTATTGATATCTTACTGTGTCCCAAGGCCTTTCTAAACCTCACAAAGAAGGTAATAGTATTACAGCTATTTTTAAAAAGTAAAAAATATGAGGCAGTGATAATTATGTCCCTACTAATATGATGTGTCAGTTTACACAATAAAGCATGCATTTTTTTAAACTCAGATGAGCATTCATCACTCTTACAGAACATTAACAATGAAGGAAGTATGGAAACTGTAAAGAAAAAACATAATTGAGTGCTCACATGAAACATCTCCAAATAGTTTGGAAGCATCGTATCAGAGGGAAAAAAATGGTTTATGTACATAGATTCAAACAGGAGAAACAGAACCAGAGAATAGAAAATAAAAAGGGAGAGGATTCCACTAAATGAAAGAAATTCTGAATAATTATTGTTGTTATTAAGTGTCACTGATTCGGTTCTCACTCATAATGACTCTGTATAGAGTTTCTAAGGGACAGCTGGTGGGTTTGAACTGCCAACCTTACAGTTCAAACCACCTTGAGGTCCAGTGCTTATGCTACAGGTCCAGGACTCCTTGCAATGAATGCTGTTGTTGTTATTATTAAGTGCTGTTGAGTTGGTTCTGACATAGTGACTATGTCTAGGTTTCCAAGGGACTGTTGATGGGTTTGAATCACTGACCTTATGGTCCAGTGTATTATTCTGAATAATTATACACATTTAAAATGTAAATAGCTACCTGGGACTGAGAGAGTTGCTGCCATCAGAAGGACTTAATAAAGTTAGTGTTGAAAGCGTAGCTGCCAGTTTGCTATTCATTGACTGTTACTCATGTCTTCACTTCCAGCCTACATACCAGCAACATGGAAGCAGGAAACCAAACAAAGTTTTCAGAATTCCTCCTACTGGGCTTCTCTGAGTATCCAGAACTACAGCCCCTCCTCTTTGGCATGTTCCTGTCCATGTATCTAGTCACTGTGCTCGGGAATCTGCTCATCATCCTGGCTGTGACCTCTGACTCCCATCTCCACAACCCCATGTACTTTTTTCTCTCAAACCTTTCCTTTGTTGATATCTGTTTCGTCACAACCACAGTTCCTAAAATGCTGGCAAATATCCACACACAGAACAAGGGCATCCCCTACATAGGATGCCTCATTCAGATGTATTTCTTTATTCTTTTTGCTGGAATGGACAATTTTCTCCTGACCATGATGGCCTATGATCGCTTTGTGGCCATCTGTTATCCCTTGCACTACAACGTCATCATGAAACCCCGACTCTGTGGCTTGTTAGTTCTGATCTCTTGGGTCATCGCTTTCTGGGTCTCTCTGATTCATACTTTACTAATAATGCGACTGACTTTCTGTATAGACACTGAAATTTCACATTATTTCTGTGATCTGGCTCAGATTCTGAAGGTGGCCTGCTCAGATACCCTCATCAATAATATCTTTGTGTTTGTTGTCACTGGCCTGCTGGGAGTGTTTCCCCTCACTGGAATCCTCTACTCTTACTCTCAGATTATCTCCTTCTTAATGAGAATGTCTACTGCTCAGAACAAGTATAAAGCATTTTCAACTTGTGGGTCTCACCTCTCTGTTGTATCCCTGTTCTATGGGTCATGTCTTGGGGTATACTTCAGTTCTGCTGAAAGAAGTTTAATAGCCACGCTGATGTATACCGTGGTCACACCCATGCTGAATCCCTTCATCTACAGTTTAAGGAACAAAGATGTGAAGGGAAGTCTAGGAAGGCTTCTCAGTAGACCAGCTTCTTATGGGTACTAGGACACTGACCTTTCTGGCTTCAAAGGCAAATTCCATTGAATTGAATATTTTGATTTGTTTTTCCCCCCTAAAGGACATCTTTTATTTATCCTATTCCCAAAGTACCTATGACTCTGCTTCCAATTTATTTTTGTGTTATTTTTACTCAACTTCTAGTTTGGTAATTCCTTTTCATTTTTCCCTTCCTCCTGCCTTGTCCAAATCCCAAAAATTCTGTCTGTAGTCAGCCTTTTTAATAGCCAATCCTGGAATATGCAATTTTGATTTTGAAGAATTAACATTCCAAATGCTGACATGATTTCTCCCCAAATAAACTTGTCAAACCTGATGTTCTTCATTTTATTTGTTGTGTGTACATGTTTTTCTTTTAGTGAAATGAATTTAAAATGATAGTCATAACTAAGTGCTTGCCACATCATTGGCGTTTTCTCTTGTTTCTGCCTTTAGCAGATACATCAGCTGCATAAGCCCCTTCACTTATAATATTTTAAAGATATATTTTATGGTTACCCCATTTTTCAAAGTTGGAGATGCATACTGGAATGCATTAAAATCCAGCAAATTGATGTTATGCTCAATTTCTAATGTCACTTTTCCTATTTCTCATAAGAATGTTATTGTTAAGTGTCTTCTAGTTCATTTAACTCATTTTTGTTATTGTTGTTGCTAAGTTGATTTCAACTCATAGCATCCTTTTATAGGGGTTTTGAGGAGCAGTTGGTGAATCTGAACTGCCAACCTTGCAGTTCAAACCAACCTTGAGGTCCAGTGCATTAGCCCACAGCACCACACCAAGAATAGTGATGTAATTTTCAACTTCAATGTTGGAAATCTAAATATGAAAGCTAGTTTCCTCAGATGATTCATATAGTAATATTCTACTCTGGAAAACTCTTATATATTGCTTTATTGTTTTGATTTCTTCCCTTCCTTTTTTTTTTTTTTCTCTTTTCCATTCTTCCTTCCTGCTCTCTTTTGACATTTATTTTCCATCATTGTAGTTTAAAATCCTAGGATATTAAAACATACAATAATGAA